ACACACTCACTCACACACACACACACACACACACACACTGTGTCACTAATGAGTTTCAGCAGCTATTTATCAACTTCAGCCCAGAGTTTCCTTATTAATTTCCCAACACCCTCCATTTCCTCTCGTTCTCTCTCTGGTTACTGAGTGAGCGAGTCGGAGCAGATAAGCCTCCACTATCTGAGCAGTGGAGAAGGATTGTGGGTAATTGTGCTGTGGTGGTCAGTGGCGTTGGGCATGTCCTGCTGTCAGAACTTGATTTTAGAATAAGGAATACCCGAAAAACAAAAGTATCATAAAAGTAGTCCATAGCAATATTTTCAAGTCTTATGAAGTCATGACGTAGCTTTAGGGGTTTTAGGATGGACAAATTATCTCAGAATAATCCATTTAAATTTCTTTCTTTCTTTTTTTATCTATTTTTTATTAATTAATTCATTTATTTGTTATTTGTTTGTGAGGAGATCTCCTGTCTGTAAGTATGAATACTCGTTGCAATTATTAGTTTTAGCTAACTAATAGCTTTATTGTCACTATACAGCAAAATTAGGGCAGTGCAGTCACATATGACTTAGTGCAAGCTTAGCATCCAATTTAAGAATTGAAATAAATATATATGCAGTCTAAATAAGATTACATACAGCAATAGACACAAAACAAGTACAGTCAAGGCGGTAGTGCGAATTAAGCCAGTTATTGCACAGTGATGTATAAAGTACGAAAGCCAAAGTTAGGCATATAACAGAAGAGCAGTAACATCTGCATTGTTTTGTATACTGATAGCATTAGTAGTAATCAATTAAGCATTGCACAGATCTTTTGTAGCAGATCGTATAGATAGTTATTGCACAATAGGCAGTGATGTACTGCACAAGGTATTGCACACAATGGAAGAGTAGTAAAGTGCAAAGGAATGTAAACATACTGAGTAATATTGAATATAACATATATTGAGAAGACATACACTGCGGTATACAGAGAATGCACTGTAAACCTGTATGGATTGATGTATAAAATGCCAGATCAGATTATGTGTGTGTGCGTGGGTCTGGCAGTGTTCGGCTCCCGTATGGTGCTGGGTAGAAGCTGTTCTTGAGTCCATTGGTCCGTGATGTGATGGACCTGAATCGTTTAACAGAGGGCAGCAGTTTGAACAAGTAATGTCCAGGGTGGGAAGGGTCTTTTAGGATGTTGTCTGCTCCTTTAAGGCAGCATGCAATGTCAAGTTCTTTCAGGGAAGGCAAAGGGCAGCCGATGATGGCGGCTTTCTTGTCCGCCACTGAGCTGCTGCTGTACCGTGTGGAGATGTGGTAAGTTATCACACTCTCGAATGGAGCAGCGATAGAAGGACACTAGCAGAGGGTTCTTCCTGAGGATCCTCAAGAAGTAGAGTCGCTTTTTTTGGTTCAGGAGAGATCCTCGGCGAAGTATGGAAATCTGAAGGAGAAATCTGAAGGACCCTCTCCATGCAGACCCCGCTGATGTGTAGTGGTGTGTGATCCGTGTTGTGCTTTCGGAAGTCTATGATGAGTTATTTGGTTTTTGAAACGTTCAGGGTCAGGATGTTTACCCCACACCATTCTGTCAGTCTCTGGACTTCATCTCTGTAAGCTGTTTTATCACCTCCTGAGATGAGTCCAATAACGGTCGTGTCATCTGCGCATTTGATAATGTTGTTGGAAGGATGGGTTGGGGTTCAGTCATGGGTGTAAAGGGCGTAGAGAAGTTGACTCAGCACACAGCCTTGTGGGACACCTGTGCTGAATGTTAAGGTGGAGGAGGTATAGGGGCCTAACTTAACCGTCTGAGGGCGGTTGCTCAGGAAGTCCTTGATCCAGTGACTAGTAGATGAGGAGAGCCCCGATCCAGCATTTTGGCTACCAGTCTGTCAGGAACGACTGTGTTGAACACTGAGCTGTAGTCAACGAAGAGCATCCTCACGTAGTTGTCCCGCTGTTCTAGGTGGAGCAGTGCGATGTGCATCTTCTGTAGACCTACTGGCTCTGTATGCAAACTGATGTGGGTCGAAGGTGTCTGGGAGGCTGGCTTTGCACCTCATAATGACTGGGGTAAGTGCAACCAAGCGGTAGTCGTTGAGACCACTGATGACCACTGAGGACACTGATGTTTTCTTCGGTAGTGGAATAATTGCTGCTGACTTCAGGCAGGATGGCATGGTGGCTGTTGACAGGGACATGTTGAAGATATTTGTGAAGACTGCAGAGAGCTGGTCTGCACATTCCCTGAGCGCCCTTCCCGTCACTCCGTGTGGGCCTGCAGCTTTCCTTGGGTTAACAGCCCTGAGCACACTCCTAACGCTATGTTCCTGTACTGTGAATGTCTGCATGTCTGTTGGGGACGGGTGTGGGAGGTGTGACCGTCTCAGCCGCTCTCACCTCGAAGCGGGCAAAAAAGCAGTTGAGTTCCTCTGCCAACGAGGCATTAGCATCAGAGATATTGTGAGTGTCACTTTTGTAGTTTGTGAGGTGCTGAGGTGCTGCCAGAGTCGTTGTGGGTCGTTGTAGGTGAAGTGGTCCTCAGTCTCTCTTTTGTACACTGCTTTCGCACCCTTGATGGCTCTCTTCAGGTTAGCTCTGGCTGCACTCTAGAGGGCTTTGTCTCTGGACCTGTCATCCAGGGCTTCTGGCTGGTGTAAATTCGGATGCGTTTGTCAACAGTAACATTGTCGACACAGTTCTTAATGTAGCAGAGCACTGTTGATGTGTACACCTCCAAATCCTGGTTCTCAAAGACATCTGTAGCCTTCCTTTACGTTGGAATAGGCCTTATCCAAGGTGTTTTTCCCCTTGTAGCACATTTGATGTGTTGATGGAATTTGGGGAGAACTATTTCTGAGTCTGCTTGATTCAAATCCCCTGCTATTATGTGGACGGCATCAGGGTGGGTAGTCTGGTGGGAGTTTGTGGCGTGTAGCAGATAGCCTTGAGCCACATTAGTGTTAGCATCCGGTGGAATGTAAACAGTTGCGACCATAACAGCTGTAAATTCTCAAGGCAGGTAGAAGGGCCTGCATTTAACAGTCAGGTACTCCAGATCGGGGAAGCAATGACTGTCAACGATGTTGACGTTTCACTAGTTGTCGTGTACATAGATGCTTATCATGTACATAGTTGTCTTTGTTTCTGTCCCAGCGGAATTACGTGCGTCCCGCTAGCTCCATGGCGGCGTTGGGTATGAGCGGATTCAGCCATGTCTCTGTTAGCAGAAGGATTCAGCAGTCCTTGTTATTTCTGGCAATCTGCAGCTGTAATTCGTCCCGTTTGTTTGCAAGTGATCTGGCGTTAGTGAGAAGGAAGAGGTGGTTTGTGGGGTTGTTCCTTTAGCTTAGCTAGTAGGCCCGACCAGCATTTTGCTTCCCGTGTCTCCTCCGCATTCGTCGCTTGCCAGAGTCGATAACAATCCATGGAGAGCCTGATGTCCTGGCTATCTCCTCCGGTATGTTGTGTGACTTCAGAAAATCACTTGTGACTGCTTGTTTGCATCGAAAAGCTATGTTTAAGATATCTAATCGACATGTATGAAAACAAAGCTGTGAGGGATAGATTTACAATGGCACGCACTGCATAAAGGTCCTAGTCCGTGCAATAATTGTCACAACTCATAACTTTCAAAACTATTTTCATGAAGTTTTTTTAACAGTACAACTTATAGAACACACTGTACTTCAGTCCCTCACAGCCTCGTTTTCATTCCTGTCAGAAATTAAATGCGCTGCTACTGTGACTAAAGTCTATAAACAACAGAGGACACAACCTTAGAAAGAGCTTACATTAATAATCATTGATGATCATAAAGAACAGCACACCCATACACAAACCCATACAAGCTGAACTTAAGATCTACAGCAACCATAAAGAGCTTGGATGATTTCAAAAGTGGAGGAAAAATGAGAGAAATCTTAGCATGTGTTTCAGAGACAAGATTCATCTGTGCCCTCGCTGGACTGAGCAAATTGTCAATAAGTGCTGAGAGGTTGAAATAATGTACCTTCTAATGAGCCTTTCACAGCACTTCAACAGCACAGACGATAATAGGACAGATAACCATTTCATCACAAGGGCTGGTAGTCTTGAGATTAGGTGTAATAATTGAGGTTCTCCACACGCTGGTCTAAAGAGGACTGGCGAATAGAAGTAAAAACATGGGGCAACTGTTCAGTGAAGTATTTCAATACACGGCCTCTACAGTAACCTGGCCCTGGCCTCTTCTGTATATTACAATGAAGCCTCCTAGATGTTTTCAACCCAGCTTTTATCTTATAAATGGGTGGAAAACTGATTTAACTGGTGGAAAAGTCTACTGCCCTCAGTTCCATATTAAACTTCCCTTCACACATATGGGTTGCACTGATCAAATTGAATACGCTTTATCTTATATTTTATTTATCTGTCACATGTTCATCTCTGAGTTTCCCGTTTCTGGTGCTGGTTATGTATTATTTTGTAGTTTAATTCATTATTGGTTCTTCTGATTGTTTCCCCGGGTGTGTCTTGTTTGCTTATTATCACTTATATATTAAAGCCCATTGCCTTTGTGTTTCTGGATCAGTTCTTACTCTTGGTTCCTCACGATTGGGTTCTTGTGTTTTGTATTCTTGAGTTTTGTTATTTGTGTGTGTGTGTGTGTGTGTGTGTGTGTGTGTGTACTGTTATTCACTACTTTATGGGGACCAAATGTTCCTACAAGTATAGTAATACCAGTATAACTTGGACTTTTTAGATCTCCATTAGGAAACAAACTTATACATCATACAGAATGCCATAACAAATGTCTAAAGTGTTGTTTTTCCTTGAGCAGCACTTCACATGCAGTACTGATAATAGATCCACAGCAAGTTTTTCAAAGAATGAATGAAACTGACTGATGTAATGGTGCTTTTCCACTGCGTGGTATGATTCGACTCGGCTCGGTTTGCGTTTCCACTACAGTTTAGTACCGCTTTAGAGTGGGCGGGATTATTCACATATTGTTATAGTTGCGCCGCCTCTATTGCCGCCACTCCTGAAAAACTTTTTCATTCCGCGTCGCCCCATCAAGCTCTCACTGGATCCGCTCCTCTGCTATCAACGAGAGGAACGTCTGTACTTCCTCAACAGACAACGAAACAGCCACTTTTTGGTTGTTAAAAAAGGTGCACTTGTTCAAAACAGTTGCGTTCGATCCTTCGCTGGCTGTGCTGATTTAAATCTAGCGGTTCTGTTGTGTTTGTGTCGCAAGTTCAGTGACGCAGGTAGTGATTCTCTCCGGCCAATCCGTGATCAGCAGAGTTTACACATCACGTTTTTGAACCTCAACCGAGGTGGTACTAAAAAAAGCACCAGGTACCAGGTACTGTACCCAGTGGAAAACCCCCCAAAAGTGAACCGTACCGAGCCGTACCATGCAGTGGAAAAGCGCTATAAGACTTACTGTAAACACAGACCACAATGCAGTGCTTATTTTGTGAGCAGGTTATGTAGTAAGGTACCCACAAACCCACAAAACATCACAAACAGACAAAGTATTGATGAGATTGTCTTTATAGGCTTCATATATGTTGTTAGAAGTCATTTATATGAAATCAACTGAGACACAACGATTGCATGCAGACTGTATACAGATATGAAATTAAAAAAAATATATATATGTTGACTTCTACATACAAGTTTTGTCTATTCTGTGATTTACTCTTCGACCACAATATGTATGTCTTAAATGATCTTCATATTGAAGCCTAGGCTCATTGGAAAAACATGTCTCTTCCACAAAAAAATTTACCTCTACACACCTATAGAGAATGAGGAGTTATGTCACGACGTTTTCACTCCGCGTTGCATTTCGCGAAGGCATCATAAAGTGCTACTGCTTTGACAATACCACCAAAGCTTCAACTTCTGAGAGGGAATTTTGAGAAAGCACTTCAGTCTTTGGATGTTGGTCACTTTAGTAACATTAACACTTTGGACTCAATACAAACAGCAGAGATGTTATGGATTCTCTATTGTGCATGATGAACGCTGCATTAGCATGTCGTTCCAGACACGTCTGCCGTTTTGAGACCGTGCTCTGATTAAATTGGCAAACATTCTGCAGAACGTTACAACACCTCGATTATTGTGTTTTCTTATTAAACACAATCTCACTCCAGGCCTGATTACTATCATCTAGTAAACATATGCTAATTAATGAATGTCTGTTCATGCCCCGCTGGAGCGCACGCTTTCTAAGGAAATTAATTCCAGAAGTCGACAGAAACAAACACAGATGAACTAGCACTGGCTGGGTCAAAGGTCACCCCTGCAGAGCTGTCAGTCATTGATTATGAAGAACTGAGATGGAAGGATGGGGTCATGCATGCTAAAACATTTTGAAATCTGCAACTCTCTACATTGAGAGTAAAACACTCGCATATGTGGCTAAATATTCACTCTGGGCGACTGAATTTCTAACGATAGCCACTGGCTAATACATTCTTAGATTTTACTCACCAGTGTGTGTTAGAGGCTAATTACAAGTTTAGCACAGATATATTTTCACTCGCTGAACACTGACTGAGTGCTTCAGAGGTTCACTCTCCATCAAGCGATCTGTACTATTTCAATTCATCTCAATGGATGTGCTGCGCACCTGTATTTGACGCACCGTAAACTCTAGTGTGAAGATGCACGACTCGAGCAGAAGATATGCCGGTTTCTCTGGTAGTGGGCGGAGCTAATGCGCAAACGGCAATCTCATTGACTGGCGCTCATCTATTACCGTCCCTGTTTTGATTTCAGCAAATCAGTTCTAGCGAATGCTGAAAACGTGATTAATATTCATGAACCCAGCAGTTAGTAGTAGTAATATTAGTAGTAGTATTGTTTTTTAATAATAATGACTATTATCCATGACCATCAATATCTTAAGCATGTGTGTGTAATATAGTATATCAGTCTGGCGAGTAAACTAAAAAAATGTATTAGCCAATGGCGATTATATTGCCGAGGTGTGCGTAGAGGGTTGATCTGTCACTTTTAAAACATGAATATGCTAGAAAACATATTTAAGGAAGCATTTTAATAAAAAAAAAAAAGAGTTTGAGACTTTCTTTAATTTATCTGAAAGTGAATGCTCAATATATGATAAGAATACATATTCATACAAATGCATTTATGACTGTAATTATTTTAAAGTTAATATGTTATCTACACTGAAGTAGTAAATAAAACAAATATTGCTGGAGAAAAAATACTATTTCAGTTTTTCTACTTCAAACTGTAATGTTTAATTACAACTGTTTGTGTAATTCAGAAATTTTTTTCAGTGTATCTCAGTTTGAACAATCTTAGTTTATATAGCCTTTATATATAAATTTATTTGGAAAATTGTCAGTTGTCACAATATACTATTATTTTATAACAAATATATGAATTGAACAAACAGCTCTGCTTCTAAATCATTAAATTCATTTATGACCTTCTCTGGGCTAATGGTGATGAATAGTGTTTGCAAGTG